ACAGCGTAGCACGTTGCATTCATTCAAAAATTAGTGGGAGTGGATGCATATAATTGAGCCTGTATATATCACATGGACCTGATTAATATTAGATAATATAAACACAAAATTCAAACATGTTTACCAAAAACATGCCTTCAAAAATCCTTAACTTTGTTTTTTATAAAAAACAATTTACCACAAGAAAAGAATGGATGAACTCCATTCAATTAATGGTTCAGATAGTACGACCACTGATTAAATGGTTATTTAAATTTTTTGCGGACCAAAATCAAAATAATATTTATGCCGATGATAAGTGCATGAGTGCTATATCACCGTAGGTCTTCAAATGTTTGTCAGGTTCTTCCAAATGTTTGCGCACAGCATTTGTCACAGTGACCCGAGCCCAAGTAAGGATCTCATCGGGAACGCTGGCATCCACACATGGAGATGAAGTTTGGGCCAACCAAGATTGCACAGTCTGTACTTTCTATAAATAAATAAGAAGGTAATTTCTTCTCAACACACACGCATATACACAAACACTAATGAAGCTTCAAATGAGAAATCTTACCTGCAGTGAGCTTGCTATGGAATTGAGAATCTCTAAAACAGAATCTTCTAAATCTTTGAGAGTTGGGTAAATGTCCATTTTTTCATCATCAAATGTCAAAGTCATGAGAAACACTGGCAAGCAGTGTTGATTGCTTGGATCGAAAAAGCTGACAAACCTTTTTACACTTTGCTGAAGCAGAAACTTTAACTATAAATTTGGGGAAAAAATATATATCACTTTAAGTCATAATATGCCTGGGAAATTGTTTATAATATGAAATACACCTCATAAATGATCTGTCTGCCATATTTCTCTATGAAATAATTTCAAGTGAAGGAACCTTTAAACATTAGTCAGTTGCAGACTGTAGCTGCGTCCTGCATTACATTTTCTAATTACATCATAGAAACATATTCTTAAAAGTAAAAACAATAAATAAAAAAACTGAAATACCTGATTGGACATGAGGGTAGATGCACAGTTGTAAAAAGAATCCAGCTGCTCCTCTTTCAGTTCATCTAAGATTTCCTCATTTGTTAATAATTGAATGATTTCAGGAAACCAAGTATTCATAATTTCAGATTCTTTCTTCTGACACTCTACAATTGCACTTCTCTGCACACTTTTACAATCCACAGGTTCGAAGCCTCTGTGGAAAAAAAAAATCCTTCCAGGAGACTGAAGACTTAGAACATAGAGGTGGTTATTTACCTTGATAATGTAATCCTACCTGAATCTACATGACACAAGTAGGACCATACCAGTGAAAGAGGTGTAACCAATATCTAATATAGCCTGCATCACTGGGTGCAGAATATGGAGTTTTCGTCTTATAAGTTTTGCTCTTTTTGTAAAGGTGCAATGGCAAAAACTTTCAATCCTTGAGAGAAATAAAAACAGACAAAAAAATAGTCAAACAAACAAATTAATTATTGAGTAATTATGAAGCCTATTCTAGAACTCACGCTGGTTGGCCAGAGCTCTGTACTTTTGAATCGTCTTCTACTCTGTCGGGATCCTTTAACACTGAGTCCACTAAAAGAAGAAAAAATGCAATAAGAAGACATGATTTACTTAAACTCCATTTGCACAAATCAAATTTCTCTGGAAAGGTACTCAGACTCCTTAAACTCATTCACATTGTGTCACTCTTCAATGAACAAACTATTGTATTTGACTAAGATTATAAATAAAATTACACAAAGTGAAATAACTTTAGAAAGAAATATATGGTTTCAAAATATTTTTATAAAATGTATCTATGTGTACTCATCCTCTTTACTCTGATACCCCTAAATAAAATCCTCTTTACAATTCTGAAATACTTTGTGTTGAGTTTAAGGGGTGCAAATACTTTTGCACACCCATGTAACTAGCAGTACCTGTGTGCTGGACAATCACGGTGTGGAATTCCTCGATGACCTCCATACAAAGCTCCTGCAGAAGTTTATCTGACTGAGGGCGCTCTATCAGTTCAGGAGAGATTCGGGCAACCATTGAGTCTAGCCACTCTTTCTGGATTGGAGCGAACGGTCGCCTCTCTACACAATGCTTCATGAACCTGTATTTCATCTTCAAGCAATGCAGAACAAAATAAAACCAATATGTATTTTAGAAAATCTTAAAATATCTTTGTTTTCTGGAAAATGTAACAGCTTGTTTACGTTCATCACACGGAATCTGTAAAAACTGTTTGAAGTTAGGTTAGCAATATTTCTTTTTTTTTGTACCAGGGTTTGTAATCAAGACTGTGCACATACAAGTTGATATTTTTCTCACAAATTCAGCTTCTCTAATTCAGAGAAAGAGTATTAACTAATAAAAAAAGACATTACAGGAAAGTAAAAAAATGTTGGCTTGTTTCTTTATACAATATTTTTTTCTTCTTTCTACTCCCTTTTCACTTGTGTATAGTAAGAATTGTAAGAGGATGCCATTGTAAATTAATGATGAAGTTTGTTGAATCAAGTGATTCATTTCTCAATAAATGCTCAAACCCCTATGATCTTCTCACCAAGATTCTAGATTATGTTCTTAATGGTCATTCTTTGTCCAGATGAATAAAATTGTCCCTGACATTATTATTGATATTTAATAACTATTTGCTCTGTTCATGGAGGTGGGGAAGGTTCAGGGTGGAATTGAAAAAAAATATTCTGTTGATTGGTCACAGCATGACATAACTTATCTGTGAGAACCAGGACTTCAGTTGCACTACTGAGAATAAAATACTAATTTTACTTCATGACATGCAAACCAGATTATATTATTTACGTAATGTAATTTTGTGTAGCTATTCAGTCTCCACACATGAGAAAAATTTCATCAACTATAGAGACTTTCCTTTTATTCGCAAAGTGAGCACACTTTGAAAATCAACAGGAGACATTCCACCCCAGCAGTAAATAACAAATATTCATACTCGGCGTGGAATCTCTGGTTCTGGAGAAGGAGGTTGACGCCTATCTTCCTTCTCCTTGGCCTTTGTGCGAGCCTCCACTGCGCTGGAGAGCCTGCAGTAAATCATAATGGACCGCAAACAGTGAAAACTGATGGTCAGTTTCAATAGCATCATTCGCCGCAACTGCCACAATCACAATAAATGATTTGTAAATGTAAGCAAAAAAAAAAAACACCTACAATGTCATTTGGAAATGTTTTTCTTGCATTGTTCTCCTTTGTTTCAGTAGCTTCTTGTGAGCCTCTCCTCTCTTCTTAATCTCTTCCGCCATCTCATTTTGTGCAATAATGGATCTCTCCAAAGCTCCTCGGAGTTTTCCTATTGGGGGCAGAACTGGTAGCTTTGGCAGGCCCTCCAGGGAGGCTTTAGAAATCCCCGAAGAGGTAGCCATTCATCACAATAGCCACCTGGGGAGGGGGGCGTAAATTTGAAGGTCGTTTTAAGTTTGTTGCTGGTTTGCTAACCTTAAATTTTGGTTTAAGCTCTCTCCAACTTACAGCACGAATAGAGGCTGAACACTCAAACAGTATTTATAAAAAACAACAAAAAAACAAAACAAAAAAAAAACATCTGCACAGAATAACAAGATGCACCAAATACGTTTACCTTTGGGCTTACGATGAAGTATCAATGCGTTTAAGGACGTGGGTTTGTAGTTTAATATCGCCGTCTTCAAACGTTGTTGGTGCCGTTACCAAGGCAACAGTAAGGGGGGGGCAGGGGGTAGTGGGCGGGGTCTGCACTGCACCAAAATGCACAAGAAAAGTTATCAAGACATCTCAAACTGTAGTTATAATATTAGCAAACAGACTTAAAAAGATTGATAAATACATATCAATGAATACACTAATAAATTTCAATATGACACATCCACTGTATGTCTATTTTTTTCCCCAATTATATTCTAGGTATCATAACATGTTGCTTCTGTTTTTGTAGACTACATGTCAGTAAATAGGAGTTTTTTTATTTGATTCAACCGCTTCGAAAAGTTAAGAGTATTAGTATAATATTCATAATATTCAGTATCAGGCAATGATTATCACTGGAGTACTTAAAACACATCATTTTTGTTCAAATGGAAGCATCATTGTCTCATTCATATATATATATATATATATATATATATATATATATATATATATATATATATATATATATATATATATATATATATATATATATATATATATATATATATATATATATATATTTAAAAAATTCCCTTCTCACCCACCGCGGGTGGTTCTTATCCTCTGAGCTCGGGTCCTCTACCAGAGGCCTGGGAGCTTGAGGGTCCTGAGCAGTATCTTGGCTGTGCCAAGGACTGCACATTTCTGGACTGAGATGTCTGATGTTGTTCCTGGGATCTGTTGTAGCCACTGCTCCAGTTTGGGGGTTACTGCCCCGAGGGCCCCGATGACCACAGGCACCACTGTGGTCTTCACCTTCCAGGCCCTCTCCAGTTCTTCCCTGAGGCCCTGGTATTTCTCCAGTTTCTCGTGCTCCTTTTTCCTGATGTTGCAATCACTTGGTATTGCTACATCTACCACAACGGTATATATATATATATATATATATATATATATATATATATATATATATATATATATATATATATATATATATATATATATATATATATATATATATATATATATATATATATATATATATATATATATATATATATATATATATATATATTATATATATATATATATATATATATATATATATATATATATATATATGTCCAAGGTTTACCTGTGTATTGTTTCATTGTTTCACTTACCTGACTTAATACAGTTAAATGAGTTCTGTGTGATCAACGTATTCTGAATATCAATAAATGTAGAAATTAAAGAGTTCAGCTGATTAACGATGTTTCTTCTAAAGAGAAAGTTATCGCAGATTGACAACACTGTTTGAAAGTACATCTTAGCGTCGTTTCAGTCCATACTCTATACCAGTTGGTGGCGGTATTGCACACCCAATGTTTTTCCCAACCGCCAAAAAAAAAAAAAAAAACCTTAAGAGAAGAAGAAGCGGCTCATCCTTCGTTAGCTTGCTAGCTACTGTTGGGAAGTAGCAACACAATTTCAGGTATTGTGAAGAATAACTTGTACGTTATATTGCAAGTATGTGGTAAGATAAGGAAATTGGATCAAATTAAGCACGACACGACTTGTTTGGGTCTTACATGGAGAAAAATATCTGCATCGGGAGATCGACGTGTTCTGTGTTTTGATCCGTGTTGATGGAAGCCAGGCTTCAGTGTTGTGGTTTTCACCGAAGGCCGTAACAGTTGTTATTTTCGGTTTCCGGTTTCATATTTCTGCTTGAATAGATAGCTAGCTGTTAGTTATCCTATGTGTTTAACATATGAAATCGTCCTGTTTGCTGTTAACACGGCCTCCTTACCCTCTTGTAGGATCTTCTTATCATCATAATGAGTTATGCAGAGAAGCCGGAGGACATAACAAAGGAAGAGTGGATGGATAAACTCAACAATGTCCACATTCAGAGAGCTGATATGAATAGACTGATAATGAACTACCTGGTTACGGGTAACGTACCGTCATTATCAGACGCACGTAAACATTTGTTTTGCAAATGCTGTTAGCTTTAGAATAAAATCATGTCATTTGATGTTTTGCAGAGGGATTCAAAGAGGCAGCAGAAAAGTTCAGGATGGAGTCTGGAATAGAGCCCAGTGTGGACCTGGACTCCTTAGATGAACGGATAAAGATCAGGGAGTTGATATTAAAAGGACAGATTCAGGATGCCATTGCGCTTATTAATAGTCTGCACCCAGAACTGCTTGATACAAACCGTTACCTGTACTTTCACTTACAGGTACTGTAAAACACGAAGTGGTCAACTTGGCTTTATTTTCTGATTGTTTCTCCAACTGCTTGACTTACTCTGTTGTATTTTTTATTCAATAATTTGCACCTGTCTGTTTTGCAATATGCAGCAGCAGCATCTCATTGAGCTGATTCGTCTGAGGGAGACGGAGGCTGCCCTTGAATTTGCCCAGTCGCAGTTAGCAGAGCAAGGAGAGGAGAGCCGAGAGTGTCTGACTGAAATGGAGAGGACACTGGCTCTGCTGGCATTCGACAACCCTGAAGAGTCTCCCTTTGGAGATCTGCTCAATATAATGCAGCGGCAAAAGGTAGAGTCAACAGACATTTGGAATAACATTTTCTGTAATTAAATTGACATATTTAGTTTAGTAAGTTGGTTTATTCTATGTTTTGGGTCTCATTTACCCTGAAATTTTCCTGCTAAAATAAGTAAGTAAAAAAAAAATTGGACAACAGTTCAGTAGAGTTAAATGCATAAAAGTTATGATAACATGGCACAAAAATTAAAAAACAAGATCTCTAAAAGTCCCTTTTGTATTCTTGTAAAAATAATAATTATTTTTATGATAAGGTTATGTTTTATTAAGGCCAAGACAGCAAAATTGTCATGTGCAAAAGTATTGTATAGGAATGCACATTATAAAACATTAAAGATTATTTGCAGTATAACCATGAAAACTCAAATCAAATAATATGTGGTCTGTCCAACTATTAACAAAATCTCCAATCAGAACAGTTTATGTAATGTTTCTATATGTTTAATATTAGAAATTATTTTTGTCCTCATGTTTTCTTTATATGATAATAATTTTCACTGTTTAGTGAATATTATTCAGTGGAGCCTTCACCACTTTAAGACTATTTTTACAAAAGCATTAATATGTGTCTTATTTTCTCTCCCAGGTCTGGAGTGAGGTTAATCAGTGTGTACTAGACTACGAAAACAGAGAATCTACTCCAAAGCTGGCCAAGCTACTGAAGCTACTGCTCTGGGCTCAGAACGAACTTGACCAAAAGAAAATTAAGTATCCCAAAATGACCGACCTGAGCAAGGGAACGATCGAAGACCCCAAATAAAGACTCAGATTAAATAAATAACATGTTGTTACAGAACGGACACAATTCCTTATCTATTTATAACCCAGGAAGCTGAATCAGTTAGAGTACAACCTTTTCTTTTTTTGTAAGGGTTGCCTTTTGATACTTTGTTAATTCTGAACTGGACTGATTGCAATTTAAGGTTACTTCTTACTCTATAACAACCAAACCAGTTACTTTATTTGGTATTATAATTTACATATCTGTCTATGTAAAGCTAAAAATGTTTTATTTACTCTAGTTTTTCTGTCTGCTGGCAGGGAATGTTGTTGGCAGGGGAGGTTGTAAATAAAGCCTAAATTAGGCTCATGGTCTGTGTGTGTGTGTGTGCCCACTGAAAGGATGCAGGGTTTCATCAGGAAGAACTGCTGGCTCAATGTGCAATTCTTAAAATAAAAACCTTCTTTCAGGAAATACATTTCAACCGGTGGAATTTCATCTGATACATGTGGTGAACATAGTCAATAAGCATTACTTGGGGTGTGAAAGTTAAATTTAAGAATCGCAATGTTTTATTTACACATGGTAAAAATTGTGATAGATACACAATCAAAAATAAAACGCTCAAGGTTTAAGTTACGGTAATAATTTGATTGGATTATTACCGGAGTACTAAAATCTACAGCATACTGTGACTAAGCTTGAGTAACATGATGTTTAAAGATGTGAATGGGTAAATACACTTGCAAACATGGAGACACTATTAGACTATTACATATGAGTGATTTACATTTGCCTAAATTCTGATGTGCTTTCTTTTCCCTGGTTTATTATTTGCAATAAAAGTTGATTTATCCTACATGACAAGTCACATAACTTGTGTTTCTCTCCATGGACATTTCAAACTTAGATTTTTTTTTTTATGGATCACTTGAGAAAAGAAATATATTTCAGGCAAATAATTGAATCTAATCTGAATATGATCAGTTTTACATTAAGTAGTTTGGTGTTAATATTTTGTTTAGCTGTAAAACTGGGGTTTTTTTTTTCTTTTTTTTTCGAACTTCGTCTTTAAATTAAAGGTAGAACCTCTCATCAGTTCTAATTTGTCCATAAGATCCTGAACGACACCAGCCAAAATGAGCTGTTAAAGTCTGGTTTGTTTAAAAGATAGCAGAATGATAGGAGTGTTTACGCTTCATCTTAATCATTTTCATGAGGTAGGAAGTATTTTTTTTTACTCATTATTCTTGCCTTACATGCCGAAAGTTCAGTTACACTTAATATTGTATTGTAAATAATTAAGGCCATGCGGTGACTCGTGACGTTTGTGATGTTTCCACAACAGTTGTTGAATTTTCTGACGTGACATTACGACACCAAATGGTGCAGGGGGGGGGGGGGAATAAACGTAGCCTTTTTGAGAAAAGACTCAAATCTATTTTAATGTTTTCCTCCGATTTCACAATTATGTTTATTTTATTGTGTCGGTCTGCGTGACATCCGATTTTGTAATTAAACTAACCATGTATTCATATTGAGACCTCTTACAGTATTAATATTTTTCGTTCAACTAAATAAATAAATAAACAATCTCAATGTATTTCAGAGAGGGGGTAAAACAACGTATCACGCTGCGCATCGTTGAGCCCGACGGCCCGAAAACGCCTCATCAGCTGCTCCCGGTGCCGCGATGTGGACGGGACAGCACGGCGCGGGGAGAGGGGAGTGTTTTTGTTTTACTGCAACGTCACGTTCAGAGAGGCCACGCGAGGCTGAAACGTCTACGTACAGTATCACATGAAACTGTAGCGGAAGAAGAAAGAAAGGACTGGCTGTGCGGAGAAAAAAAAAAAAAGCCTAACATCTGAATCACTTCCTGATTTAACCCTATCGACCGCGCGCAGATCTGCGAGCCTCACAGGCTGGAGCAGCAGCAGGAGGAGGAGGCTGAAGAGAAAAAGTGACACGTGGATTATTCCTCCCAGGGCATCAGGAGCAACACACTCCCTCCTCTAGCTTTTAGTTCCGCGACTTGGTAATAGACTCAAACATCGAAAGCTTGTGAATGTGACCGCGTCATTACTACCACCCCCTCCTTCCACCTCTACACGTTTTTTTTTTCTTGTTTTCCCCCCTCACTGACATATCGAAAATAGGGTGAAAGTGAACAGCGGGAGCCTTTGACGGGAGTCTGCCGTCACCTCGCGTTGAATGGCAGTTATTCAAAAACATGGCAAGAGCTCTAGTCCGGATTTGGTCTGTCACAAGGAGAACGTCCCGCCTGACAAGATCGGAGCACCTGGATGTCACAAGAAGCGGCCCGAGGCGCACTCCAACTGGCCGAGGTAACGTTTCCAACACTTGCAGAGACATTGATTCAAGTGTGGCGAGGGGCTTGACGTCAGCACATAGCAACTCAGCAGGGTGCTGGGGTTCCCGTGAGGGAGCAGTCACTTCTAATCCGAGTCAGCGTCGATACTTGAAAGACAACATAGTCCTTTTTTTTTTTCTTCGCCCGTCTCCGTAATCTGTTAGTGTTTTTATATTTAGATTAAAATGAAAATATATATTTCTTTCAGTTGTCAAAATCACATTGAGTGAAACTTAGATATTATAAAAAGCCATTATTCAGAGTGTTTCATTTCAAGTGTTTATTTCTCATTTATTTTCAGCAGACAGCCTTCAAAAGGAGGGTGAAGCATAAAAGCTTATTGCTGAATAAGAGAATGCTATATCGAGTCATATAATGAGAAAGTTGAGTGGAAGGAAAAAGTATGTTAGGAGCAGGTGCCACTAAAACAGGAATGGCAGAAATAAGAAACAGAGCCGATTTCATAGTTTTTGGATGAGTTACAAGGGGTGGAATGCAACCGGAATCCGTTGTTCAACAGGCATCACACACAAACTTGTTCAGGACGTGGGTTTGCAACTGTTGCATTCATTGCGCCAAGCCACTCCTCAACCAAAGGTGAAATCAGAAGCATTCTACCTGTGGTTAGGAAAGCAAAAGAGTACTGAACTGTTGCTCAACCCTCTTCTCAGAGGAAAGCAAATTTGGCAGCTCACTTGGAAATTAAAGTCTCAGAGGCATAAAATCAAAGTTGTTTGGATCCAGTGTGACGTTTCCACAGTCAGCTATAATTAGGGAGCCATTTCATCTGCTAGTGTTGGTAAACTGTGTTTTATCAGGACGGAAGTCAGCAAAGCTGTCTAAGAAGACATCTTAGAGCACTTTGTGCTTCCCTCTGCTGACAAGCTATATGAAAATGCCGGTTTCATATTCCAGCAGTGCTTGGCTAGCATCTCAATGATACAGTGATTTACTGAGATGAAAGTTTCTATGGTTTTCTACTTTTAGGATGTGTGACCAAGTTCTCTTTAAATCACTTCATCCCCTTTTGGTTCTCTAGAAGGGCCTTCACAAACTCCCTGTCTCTGATAATACATCTCCTACTAATTATTTTTAAGTCCCAGTATTTCTTTTAGAGTCCATTCAATTTAGTCTGCGTCCTCCATTTTTCACAGACCAGTGGCGAGGATATGGACAGTGGTGCTGCTGTTGGGGACATGTCTTCTGTACTGCGCCCGTGTGGCGATGCCCATCTGTGCCGTTAGCATGGCGGAGAAGTTCAACTGGACCAAGAGAGAGTCCGGCATGGTGCTAGGCAGCTTCTTCTGGGGATACTGCTTCACCCAGGTGTTTGGCGGTTACGTCAGTGACCGGTAAGTGCGGATTTCTGCTGGGTTTTCCTTACATAAGAAATAGTTTTAACCTATTTGAATAATAAACAGGACTTTACATTGTTTAATAAATAATAGCTGAAATACATGTATGATAGGATGGAGTCTAATTCTTTTTAAAAGTGCTTTTAGATAATGTGTTGTGAAGTAAATAAACTGAGTAGAATTGAATTAACAGTGGGAAAATAACCACTTTGTTTTGAAAATTAAGAAACCTCTGGCAGACAAAGTATGAGCCTACATTTGCCGCTACTTGCAATGGGTTTAGAGTACAGGAAGGAAATAAATAAGACACACAATCCCTGAGCAAGGACAGTCATTTACTATCCTTAAGGACAGTAAATGAGAGACAGTATGCATAGTTAATGGAAGCGCTCCATGCCATCTTCCTGGGAAAAGCCACCACAAAAGAAGGAATCATTAAGCAAGAAGTACTCCAAAGAAAAACAAAGTCAGAAAAAATATACAGCAAAGGCTGTCTAGAGATTAGATTAAACTAAATACAGATCAATGGTGACGGAGGCAGTTACAATAATTCTGAAAGTTGTTTTTTTTTTGTCAACAATGGTTCTGATTAAGAAGGATACACGGCTAAATAATAAAGGATTGAGCCAGGTTTCCTTTCTGTGCAGAGAAAGCAATATTCATCCTTAAAGTATTGAATAATGGCAAACATGGAGAAAATAGCAGAGTGAGGAAGAGTGGTTAGGATATCCTTTCCAGCAACCAGTGAGCCTGTGGCAGCATAAATATAGTCATTGCTCAGGAAAAACTAGAGGGCCGACTTCTAATCTTCTTTAGAAATGATTAAATTATACACTTATTCTTCTTATGTACATACATCTTTAGAGGTAAAACTTTGACTCTTTTCGGCTTTCTGCTGGTCTTTGGAGTATTGTGAAACTTTGCAGACTGTGGTCAACCACTCTGTAGCAGTGATGCAAACAAGTGCAGCAGTGTTTACTTAGCCTGGGAGATAATGCACTGTATTAGATTCTACATTATCACGTTAGGGAATTGCAAACAGGGTCATTATGAAACAGGAGCACCCAGAGATGGCATGTGTAAGGTGTAAGAATCCAAAAATTACAGTGTATGTCTTAATCATTGATCCACTGTTGCGACAGTCTTGTATTATGTCATTTCATCATATTTTGTTTCCAAGTCCAATCCCTTTTTTGTACCATCTTTATTATTAAGGCTATTGGAGAATTTTGTTTTTCTTTGTATTTTGCTTGCTTCTTAACTGTAGAAGGTGAATGCTTACCTTGATTTAAAGATTTCAAAAGGGCTGACCATAGTTTCACTTTGAACATTTTCCTTGACAAACAGCTTAAAAGCTCAATTTTACTGCACTCTGTTCAACTTCTCATTAGGAGTTTTCAAATTTTACTCTGTCTTTCTCTGACACAAGTTGTGGTAGAAATAATATATTTAAGATTTAAAATATATTATTTAGCACTTTAAAAAACATAATTAAAGTGTATTAAATTAAAATGTTAAATACGTTAACATATATTGCCATGTATGTCAACATAGCAATGTATGCAACACGATGAATCATCTTTGCTTACTGTTGAACCAGAAAAACCTCATGTCCCAATTACTTGTTACCAAAATGTATTAAAAGGTCAGAAAATTAATATTTTTAATATGATCTTTCTGTTGAAACATAACACATGTATTACAAGATAGAACAAGCCATGTTTGGAGACATGTAAAATTCTGGGTCAGTCACAGATATTTTTAAATTCCAGTCCCTAAAGAACATGCCGTCTCACGCACATTCATTGACAAAAAATGTGGTGTTGCAGGTTATGCCATTTTCAAGAGTTTGAAATCACAAATAAACAACTCTTTCTATATATATGTCTTTATCTCGTTCTCTTCGTGTCTGTCTAGTGTTGGAGGTGAGAAGGTCCTCCTGCTGTCAGCAGCAGCCTGGGGGTCCATGACAGCTTTCACTCCGATCCTCGCCCACCTTTGCTCCCAGCCAATCTTCTCCATGACACTGGCCCGCTTCCTCATGGGCCTGTTACAAGGTGAGACTGAAGCAGTGCAAGATGACTCATCGCTCCAGAACTAGTCAGCGTGGTTAAAGATCCAGACCATGAGAGGACTTGTTTCTGTCATGATAACACAGACATGACTTGATAAAGTTTGAAACCCTTTGGCAATTTTAAGTGTAATCATAGCAGAAAAACACAGGTCTTTTTGAGAAGAGTTTTATTCACATCCTAATGCTTTGTATTTGTATTTTTTACTACAGTTAAGCCAGATATTTTCCCATGCTGTATAGGAAGGCAGATAACCTTTTTTTCCTGCTGTCTGATGTTAAATCAAACTAAATGTTTCCTGTTTTATGTACTTAGTATTGCTTATCATTGCTTAAAAAGAAACTTTTGTAGATTATTAGCAGGATCAGTAGTATGTTGATAATATTTTTTTCTAGTCTAGTCCAGTACTAGACTAGAATTACTACTAGACTTAGTCATTCTAAATATCCTAAAACAGAAAAAAATGTAGTTTAATTTAATTTTACACAGTGAAGAAAAATGAATGTGTTATTTTATATATTGTATGCAAACATCTGACTTCAGCTAAAGGGAAGTGACTGTTATGTTTTTTGAATAATCATGAAGCAACATACAGGACTGTGGAAGCAATAAATTGCAGTATGTTTCCTCTGCCCAGTGTAGCATTAAGAGTTTATTTAGATATTTGACAACACAATATTGCTATAAAATGTAATAGAAATCAAATGTAGTAATAGACACCTTAAGCAGTGTTAAGCTCAAGCTTTTTGTTTCGGCTAAGTTGTTTTTTGTGGCTTTTCTAAAAGAGAATCCTTCTTCCCATTTCTTTTTGTCTGTGTATTGACTTTAGGAGTTCATTACCCTTCGCTGGCAAGCCTGTGCTCACAGAAGGTGGTTGAGAGTGAGCGAGGCTTCCTCATGAGCACTGTGGGGAGTGGCTCCTACCTGGGGTGAGTCAAATGTTTGGCACTGAAGAAAAATTGGTTGTAAAGCCATCAGTATTTCCTTGGAAAAACACCTTCCTGAAAAGAATAAACCAGGTTGTTGTGAACTGAAAAGCTGTTTTAAGAGCCATTTGGTGTGTGGAGAAACTTATCTGATAGATTCACATCCAGATGTATACACCCTGTGACTGTGTCAGCTTTGGTCGTGCTGTGCATGGACATCAAGTTACACGGAAGTTTTTGTTTGACTTTGTTCCCTTTCCGTCTCTTTTTTAAGCACGCTTGTGATTGGAGGTGTTGGTTCTCTCATGCTGGACCTGTATGGCTGGGAGAGTGTTTTTTATGTGTCTGGTCTCCTGTCCGTCCTCTGGGCCTATTGCATGTGGAAATACTTGCTTAAAGGAGAAGGTAAGAGAAGCTTGAGTTGCATCAGAATATTGCATGACTTTGCCTTTTTGTGTTTATTATGTAAAGCACTTTGAAATGCCTTGCTGCTGAAATGTGCTATACAAATAAAATTTGATTGATTGATTGATTGATCAGAAGCATCACCGCTGTAGTTTTATACTTTTATCATGTACCTTTTTTATGTATAATTGAAATGTATGAAATTGTCCCTGCTCGTGTGTGTGTGCAGGTCCTATAATTACACTTGAGTCCCTAGGTAATGGTGGGACCCAGTCGAAACTTAATAAAAGGCATTGGGCACGTCTCCTCAAGCAACCTGCAGTCTGGTAAGACAACACTACAGTCCGTGTGTCTTCAAAGAACAGAAATGCAATTGTGTTCTGTATTCTGTAGCTATGCTAACTTCCAAAGTTTGCATCAAGAAGTCATGTAGCAGATTATAGATCAAGCTTGAAAGTAACAACAAGGTCCAGCCTCAATGCTAAAACCACAAAAAGCTAAAACCACAATTTATTGTGGGTTTTATGTAATTGCAAAGGATATCAACCCAAGTTGTGACATTTTTTTCAAATTAAGTTGATAGAAGCCTTCTATTGACAGGCTTCCATGTCAGTAGAAAAAGTTGAGACATTAAAGGTTTGGAATGTCCTTCCTCCCAGAGCGCCTAATTCGAGGGCAATAGCATTGTTTCCAAGAGACTGTGATGCTGGGTGCTGGAGAAAGTCAGTCATGGTTAATAGCTTCCTTCAGACACATTTTAAAGCGTTCAACCGTTTGCGTTTGTCTAGTTTTCCAGACAGACATTTCTACACTGAGGTAGCACATAATGCAGAATGTTTTCTGGGGAGTATCTGGTGCTTGATTTTTCAGGAAGACACATCCCAGATTTTAGGAGAATAACACTGAAGTACAGCCTTGCTGTGTATCGTTCTGACTCTGGACACCAGCAGGAGGCGATTACCTGATGTTCTCAGAGTCTTGAGCTGCTTCATATGGTTCTAAAATGTCAGAAATGTATTTTGGCACCAAACCACATGGGCACTGATGAGATATTAGGGAAATATCTAACATTTTCCAAGGGGATAAAAATAACTATTAAAGACAAAAGTCTTAGGTTGTTGGTGATAATGGACTGCCTGTTCCTTTTGACATTGATTTTAAAATATAAATATGTTTTTTAAAAGTGTTTATGTTTTTATTCTGAAATCAAATTATTTCTTACTGTATGTCCTGTCAATCAGCACATAAATGCAACTTTTAATCCAACTGATATCTTTTTTCACTGACAGATAACTGTTTGGTTTTATTTGCATGTATACTCATTATTACCTGAAGAGGAATACATGAGAATTCACTGGGTGTGATCCTGAAACAATGGTCTACTGTTGGTTGACTTTAACCTACTTTTCTGTCTTGACACGTTGCGTTGTGTATCGAGGAATAGCTTAAAACAAGGCCACATTCATAAACTTCTGTTAAGTTAGTTGTACCTGTAAAGATTGCTGAACAGTATTTCAAAAAAACTAGAACTAAGCTCCTGTATTTCTGTCTTTTTCTCCCCTTAATTAGTGCTGTGATAGTAACGCACCTTTGCACAGCAAGCACTTTCTTCACCCTTCTATCCTGGCTGCCAACCTTCTTCAAGGACACCTTCCCTGATGCCAAGGTAACAACATCATCCCCTCATTCTTCTTCCAGTCTGACCCCTGACCTTTATTTCAGTGCAAAATGAATTTGAGTAACACAGATGCAACAGCTGCAAATATCAAGTTGTATTTATGGAGTTATAGTGCAATGGCTTTTCTTTTTGTTCAGTTTCGTATTTATTTATGTATCCAGCAGACAAAAATTCTGTCATGCACTTGTTAAGCTTGAATGTGTAATGTATCTGCAGGGTTGGGTGTTCAATGTCATTCCTTGGCTGGTGGCCATACCATCATCTCTGTTTAGTGGCTGTCTATCTGACCATCTTATTTGTCAAGGTACACAACCTGAGGAATGCATATCACAAGAATATTAGTTGTTTTTGAAATAGGAGGTACTTATTCCTGTCTTTATCTCTTCAGGTTTCGACACCGCCTCAGTAAGGAAGTTAATGCAGGTACAATATTATGAATTTGTCTTCTTAATCTTCTTCTGCAGCCAAAGGCTCTCTATCCCTCCTGCAGTAGATCGCTGGATTACATAAAATATATATTATATAACATATATATGAAACTGAATTTTTTTCTGCTCGGTGGCTGACGTGTTTTGAATTTTTGTGCCAGAAAAGAACTAGGAATTAATATTAATACGTATCAGCAAAGGTGAGAAAAACAGAAACAGGCCTTTGTGGTTTATTGTTTAATTTCTATCCAGTAGGGAACTCAAGAGAAGGTATTTTTTTCTAATCTTTTTGGAAATATGTCAGACACATCTGTTACTGTAACATGCCAAAATAGCTCTGAACAATTTCTATAGGCTATAAGCAAATTGGCTGTTCAGATTAAATGAGTTGCAGACTCTTAGTCTACCTGTGTGTTAAGTGAGAGTTTTATTAGTTGAATTCCTTTTTCTTCTTAATAGTGTCCTTGCATGTAGCAAACTGTTTTTTTAAATTTATTTTTGTCTCTTCCTCTTGTTAGTTTTTCTCGATGGGTGTGTCCAGCGTGTTCACGGTCCTGCTCTGTGGTAATACCACGTTCTCCTGGGCTGTAGCTTTTGTGTCGGCCACCATGGGTCTCACTACGTTCAGTCACAGGTACTGGCTCACACATTATCCCGCAATACCTGTCACTCTGCCTTGTGTTTTTGGACTTTGAATATTTAATTTATTTCCTCTTATACCACCACAAGACAGTTTTGTCAGTTCTTGGCTCCTGTTTGGCATGCAGTTTTAAATGTTATTTCAAGCTCTTTAGTTCATCGGTTATATTTTAATTTTAATTTTTAAAACAAACTATCTAAACGTTAGTGCAAAATCTACCTACCTGCTGAAACAGGCAATGAGAATTTCTAACCTTATCTAATCAGGCTGTTGTTTTAGTGTTGTTATTTGTGTATCAAAAATTATATGAATTATTCATGTTGAGCTTATTATTGCATGCAGATTAAAACACCTTTGAGTGACTAGTGTGAGTTTGCTGTTCTCTGACACGACGTGTGAGCAGGAGGGTATGTTGTAGAACTCTAAAGCCTGTATGTGAAAAAATATGTTTTTCCTGAAGCAAGCTGGATAGTACTAGATAATTTTTCTGCTGATTCGGAGGAAAGCAAGGAAAAAGTATAGCAAGTTTCAAAGCTGTTTACCTGAAACTGAAAAATGTTGTCATTTAACATTAGTTCTCTGAATACACATTAATAATACTCAAACATTTTACACCTTCTTCCCTTTTTTGACTGTGTACTTGGAAGATTGAATCATAATTATCTCCTCTCATTGGCAAAGTCAAAGGATTTTTTTAAGTTTCTTGCACTGATGTTAAAAACAAAACATTTCTGTTACAGCGGGGTTTCCTTAAATGTTCAAGATCTCGCTCCTTCTTGTGCCGGAGCTCTATTTGGTGAGTAAAACATTCAGAGTTTTAATGAAAAGAGTTTTAAGACTAAATATTAATGTTGTTTTTTTAGTATAAATGTTAATAGTCATGTCCACCTCTACAGGAATCATGAATACATGTGGGGCATTCTCAGGTGAGTTTCTCTTTAGTTAAGAAATCTCTTTATGATAAATATTTAAACAGCAGAAGCTGAAACTCCATAAATGATAACTGGTTCCCTTTTACTAAATTCAAAGTTTGCGATGATGTGTGGCTGTCAGGTTTACTGGCTCCCATGATGCATGCATATTTCATCAAGAGAGCATATTAAAGCCAGTGAATAAAACAGTCAGCAGAGAATGACAGCACGGGGTTTGTAAAGACAAATAGTCCTGTGACATTTTTCTTCATGTAGAGAGCCTCATAAAAATATGTGTATCCCTTGGACTTTCCCACATTTTGTCATGTTACAAACATTCATTCAGTGTATTCTGTTGAGATTTTACAATTTTGCACACAAAGTAGTGCATGGTTGTAAAGTATATGGAGATGGGTGCAGTTTTAAAAATGTACTAATAGAAACACAAAACGTCTGACTTGAATTTGGACTCACGCCAGACTTTTTAGCTGACAGAATGGTAACTGTTCTCATTCTGTGCAGGAGTCCTGATGGTGTACTTCTCGGGGTATCTCATTGAGGCCACAGGCTCGTGGGCATCAATGTTTGCCCTCATCACCACAGTCAACCTGATGGGCCTCTTCACCTTCCTGGCATTTGCCGAGGCTCGCAGAGTCGATATCGACTCCAGCAGGGTCCGCCACCATAGCATCCACATCTAAATCGTTGATGGAACGAGTGTGTCTGCGAAAATGTTACTGTGGTTAATCTATAGGCAGATTATCCACATTGGATTATTATCCAATAGATGATGAGCGGCATCTTGCACAGTTGAGATGGAAGAAATGGTTGTTTAGCTCTGCATTTACTGGAAGGCTACTGCAGAGCATTGTTACTGAGAAACTCTAGGTGGGATTCAGAAGGAGGGGAGCTCTGTCCGTTCAGAGAAAATGGAAGAGAGTATACTTGCACTACATCCAGGTTTCAGCTGGTGAAGTGGTTAAATATTTGAGAGGAAACTGTTTACATTTGCAATGTATTACAGCCCACAACGGAAGTGGAAAAGCTGCAGAGATTGTTTGTGAAAGCTGTCGCTAAGTGCTGGGTACTGCAGAGGGAACTCAGTGGTGGCGCTATTAGCTTGAGGTGCTCTCTAGCTGTAACAGACAAAGCTGGACAGCTTCTTACCTTGTAGGTGACCCCAGGAGAGTCCAAACTCTTCTACCTGGAGCATTTTACTCGTAAGCCCAATCAACTTATCACTGAGATAAATATCCGAGTGACATCTCATTAAGCGCCTGCTAATGACTCTGGCGGACACCCTTAATGTTGTGTCCAATTTACCTTCAGCGGACCTTGTGTTTGCAGTTACAGACCTATCAGTTTTCAATGGGGGTCAGAAAGCTTTAGGGCTTAGCTTTAGCTAAGTGCTTTCTCTCTGATAGATGTATTAAATACAATAATGCAATTTGTGAGACCAAAGGTTAATAGTAAATTATTATTTTTTTCTATGTTATAGCATCTAATAAAATGTCTCATTAAATTATTTTTGACCAATTTCATTTTTATATGGAAATATGTTTTTTTCTTTGAAGAGAAATTTATGTGGAGTCCAGGTAAAAAATCTGAAAGGACAAATGGAAAAGATGAGACCTGATTGTGTGTGTGTATGTGTTAATCCTAACTTGTTTGTATATTACTTGCCAAAAGCCATGGGAATTGTAATGCAGTCTTAGACAGTAGTTCAGGCCTTCTGAAGAGATGTATTTATTTTTGTGAGCCTTTTGGCTCTAATCCATTTGTAAGCTGTGAACATTATTCTTTTTATCCATTGTTTAAGTCAGGCCACATGCAGCTTTTCTTTTGACTCTTGATTTGTGAGCAATTGAAAGAAAATCCTTAAGTTTTATAATATTTTCTCAAAGTGAAAAAAAAGTTCATTTTTCATCATTGGTCCTCTTGCTTTTTCTGTCCTACATGTGTCTACTAATCACAGAGGCGTTAAAAACATTGATGATGTTGCATGTATATACATATTGCAAAAAGTACACTTACTCTCAATGTCTGCTCAACCATGCCTTCGCTCATGATTTCCATTTAAAAAGTTAATTTACTGAAATGACAGTACCATGCAGAGTAATTTGATTTGTTTTCCTGCTTTTAGCCAGGTGGAGCAAATATTTCCTCCTGCCTGTTTAGATGTGGATTATGTAAAGTTATACTTCATGTTTTATGTCTTTGTCAGTTGACAGCTTTCAAGAAATTATAAATTTTTTAAGCGATGTATTCACATGCTGTCCTAAAAACAAAGTCAATTTAAGATAAGAAATATGTTCAAACAAAATATTCTGTTTAAAAATGTTTTTAGTTTTGGATAAAAATGCAGTTTGTTGGCATAAAAGAGTTTCCAGTATTTTTGGTCGTTTCATTCTTGTTTTATCTGTGTGTATTTTCTGTGTCGCTCCACAGAGAGGCAGCATAGTGCAAGCAATGACAAGTCCATGTTACCTATCTGCAAATTCCTAGAATGAAGCCCTTAAAAAAAGTGATGCTTCATAAGTTTTAAGAATACCCTACAGTTTGCAGAAATGATTCAAATATCTCCTGCGTCAAGGACCATGTGCTGCAACTTCTGTGATTAAAAAAAAAAAACGTACTATTTTGTGCGTCAAGCACCTGAAAGTTGCTTGTTTCTGTCCAGAATTGAATCCGGATCAGCTGCTGAACAGGTTCTGGTGCAGGGCCCGTCATGTTCACACTAGCAGCTCACTACACGCCCAAATCCCGAGTGCGGGCCAGCGGGACGTATGCGGTGGCACCATATGGCAGGATGCTGTGTGCCATGTTGGCTAGCTGGCACTGCCCACGTGTGAATGGCCAGACGCTAGTCAACCGAACCTACTCCTTCCTCATGGGACCCAACGGCTTGGGTAACCATGGCGACGGGTGGCTTGTGGGGCTGCCGCGTGGCAGTGGAAACCAAAGAGGGGAATAGTGGGGGGGTCACAGGTGAATGAAAGTAACAAGTCATTTAGAAGTCAGTGGGGTGGTGAAGTAAATTTAGGGTTTGATGTACAGTTTGTAAAAAATATATATATACAAAAAAAAAAAAAAAAAAAGGTGGGGTTGGTCAGTCACTCAGACAGAAAATGGCGTAGTAAAAGAAGACATAATCATGATGAGTGGCCCACTATTTAATTAGCAGAAATTAAACACGAAGAGGGAGAATAGAAGAGCCAGGCAATTAAACCCTCCCCCAACTTGTTGGCTAGTTAGAGTAACCTAGTAAATGCTGGGCTGTCAGAGAGCTAGCGATACATGTAAATGAAATAGCCCCATTAATTAGTAATTAACATCAAGTTAATGACATTTCACTGTGTTGCCATTTCATCCTATGTCCTTCCTCTGAGGTGGAGGGGCTGTCTCTCCAGTCCCTGATCGGAAAGCTAATTAGAGCAAAGCTAAACTGCAGTATAGGACTACCTTATAATATAGAAGCTGGTCATTGTGTGAGCAGCTTTAATTGCTTTGTAGTAATAGATAAGCAGGCTTTATAAGTCTGACATAAAGGTTTTACATGTTAATTGCATGGTGTAAGCTAACGTTTCTCCAGCTGACTTGGAAACATTTTGAACATTTCACCTCCTTTTTCGACATCGTGTACTGTATCATCTGTTTTAGGGTTGGAAAAACTCAAACGATGTGGAAAGAAACAATTGGCCTATTACGTAGACAGCACTTTTTTCTTTGGTGGTGGTGGTTGGCTATTTGCAATAGACATAAATTCTAAAGAGAATTTCTTTAGACACGGCGACTAAAACCGGAAGGCAACACAATCATGTCGCCATCTTGAAGCTGTTACTTTGCACGACCGCAGACAGAAAGTCTTTTTGTTCTTGAGAAAAAACAAAACAATCATGCATCGAAACATCTTGCACTTACGAGAAGCAACACCCAAAGCTGAGGTAAGAGCAATGCAACGGAGTTCATAGCCAGACCAACAAGGCAACTACAAATGTTGTTTACGAGGATAGAGTTTAACAGGCAAGAACATGCTTTTTTAAAATTAGCAGCCGCAGCACAGTTTTGTTTCTGTGTTAAGTCCACATAATACGTGCATCTTTAGCTAAAACTGACATTCAAAGGCCAAACAACATCTTTTGAAAAACTAGCAGCAGACAAAGAAAAATCCATGTAGTGTTTAACCGACTAAATAGATGGTGCCCTATGAACGGTGTTTTGACAGTTTAATTTGTGTAAGGACAGCCTCACAAGTAAACCACAGACTGCTTATGTGGAGAAAAGTGAGACATGCAGAGCTAGTCCATGGCTCCTTTATTTAAAGTATTTTGTCACAGTTTGGAGAAATGGGAGAACTGACGCCTGTGGCAATCAGTCATAATGTGGGGTTTAGTGCGTCAAATTGGTTTTTGTCAAGTGATAATTTTTTCCTGTGGTGAATTACAGGCAGAATGGACACAGAGGACTGTTTGAATTTCTCTAAGATGCCAATTGCAGATAAATTAATATGTAAGTCTTTCCTTTTTGATCAAAATTCAAGATGGAGAGTTAGTCTCTACATTTTCTTGGGTGGACATTGGACTGCAACGTCGATGTTCCTATCATAACACCCCTATTTCTTTTAACATTTTATGATCTGCAATGATTAAATACAATTATTGTGAGCTGCAAGGGAAAAGTTGTCAAAAAAATATACATGCCCTTTGAAACATTTTGTTACATGAACATGAGAGAGTTGGCCTGTGTTGAATGTAATTCAGCATTTTTTACAGTCTGACTGAGGTGAAGTCAAGAGATGGGAATGTTCTTTTGTTTCTGGTCTTCCCACCCCCTGAGCTGGAAACAGCATGCTGACATGGCTAATATTGCACGATTTGTCTGTGGTCATGAGTATTATTGCTGCAAAGAAAAATAAAACATGAAGTTAATATTCATCACGCAGCAGTGATTTTGTCATGAACAAAGCAGTTTGGAATGTTTTTCGGAGGGTAATTTTGAGCAATGTGTGTTTCAAGCTTCCACTCTTCACTACGGCTTTCAGGTATTTTTTCTTTAGCCAATATCTCTGCCTCTGTTGACCATCTTTTCTTTGTTTTCCTCTTTTGTTCTTGTCTTCATCTCTTCCTGTAAACCAACTTCTGATAGATAATTGACCCCTAAAGCGATCCCCGATGCCTGAGTACCCTCACCATTTTAACTCGCCACCACAAACACACTCACAACCAAATATGTTGATTTTTGTCAATTAAAGCCCCTTCAGCTGTTTGCCTCTTGCCAGACATATGGGCCATGTTAAATCTAAAGAGCAAGTGGGGCCACCATTGAAAGGGGCATCATTTTAATGGAACCCTAAGGGACAAGACCCACACCTGCTTAATAATAGAGTAAACCATGAGCAACGCATTGGACAGATGAGGACAGTGTTGCCAGGGCACGGGGCATCCCAATTCAGTTAAAGTATTTATTGCGAACCAAAAACTCTAAAACTGCTTTTTTTAATATTACCCTAACCATTTGCAAACTTTTTTTCTTTTGTTTCCTCTGTCCTAACAGGAGACAGACAGCTCAGCCAGGTTTTCAGCTTTATATCTGCTAAGCCAGAAAAAAAAGAAAGGCACAAGCTAGATTCGAAACTCTCCCCCACAGCACTGACATATTTTTCCCATTTTTCTTAAAAAATAAAAAGAGTTGTGCGGTTTACAGGTGCAATAACAAATGTTTACAAACATAATTTTAGAAAACAACATGGTGTATAAGCTCTTGGCAGTGAATGGCAGAAGCTTAACACAAGGAGAAGGCATAGAAAACGTCACTGGAAAATTCGGCAAGCATTTTTAAATTGAATTTTTATTTGACGCTGCTTTCTTTTCTCTTTTAATTTACTCGGCTTAAATATTTTTTAATAGGCCTGCAACTGGACTGACTTTTAAGTGTTTTATTAATCATTTGCTCTAATAATAAAATCCAGTTTGCTGTTTTTCAGTCTGACCCAGAGTGGACAACCCAAAGATAGATGATTTAGTGGAGAATTATCGGGAATTTCACACGAAGCAGAGGCCGGCACTCTGTGGAAGCTGCCAGTTTGGCGAAGAAATTTACAATTGGCTATTGAAAATAGTGCTGGCTGTTTTGCTTATTGATGATTTGCAATAGACTTAAATTAAAAGTGTAAATTTCAGATAGATGCAAAATATGAATTAAGAAATGCATTTGAATTTTAATGCATGATGAGAAACAAAAGATCTTTGGAATTTCTCAAAAGTCAGTCTAATTTATGTTTGGTCAAATAATGCCATACATTTATTGTGCTATATATTTATCCTACATTGTTTAGTTTCTCTTCAGGATCAGATAATGATAATTAAATTTCCCATGAAAATAAATGTGGATTTTGGATTCCCAGTGCTTAATTTAGCACATTTACTATAAGTACAATTTATAAAGAAAACAGTATGTAAAGTTATGGGAGAACATGGATTCTTCTTTGCATGAAATTAACTTAACAAAATATATATATATAAATATATATATATTTG